GGTGGACTAAAGTGGGATTGTGGCAGCAGGCCAAAATACTGTTGAAAAAGCTTCATTTAAATAAGTGAATTTTTAATGGAACATATCAAAAGATTAATGATATGAAGAAAACTGTCAACCAGTAACAGCAAAAAACAGTGTGAATTCAATAAAAAAAATTACAACAGCAGAGATTTTATTAATTCGTATTCTAAATGTACTGTAAATGTATTCTGAATATGTTTCTTTTTTATGTATTGTAATGGAATATGTCACTGAATACATTTAGAACAGTGTATTTCGTATTCAGCCATCACTACATTTCCAAAGTATTCTACCTAACAAAAATACAGGAAATGTAAGGCTGCCTGACGGCTGCTACTGCTGTTTTTATCTATGTGATAAACTTTTATCCATACTTACTCAATATCCACACTTACTTATCCTTTCTTCTATATTTGAGTATTTGAGATCAATGAACAACTTGATGTTGTTTAAGGCAAGAATGTGGCAATTTAAGCATTAGGTTTGCACAGTGCTAACCATTATACAGTCGTATGCCAAAGTTTGGATATATTTTTTGTTTTGTTTTTTTTGTTCATTTTGTGATTTTTTCAGGAAAAAATTATCCTTAAATATGGCATTTTCTGCTAATTTTAGTGTACAATTTCATATTATGTGCTGAGTTTAACATATTGAAAAAAAAGAAAAACATTAAGTATAAATGTGCCATAGCTTTTTGTTTCATTTGTTTTCTTCTAAATTTTTTAATTCAGCAAATGAACAGTAATTATGCATTAGAATGTGTAGAAGTGTGTTCTCTGTAGAGGATGTGTTACTTAGTTTCACAAAGAAAATCAACAAAACATGTAATTTGAACAGGAGTGCCCAGACTTTTGCATATGACTGTACATAACCGTCCATTACTGAGCTACACTAGCTTCTTAGCTCTAGGGCAAAACTAAAGAAGAAAACCTCAGACACCAAACATGCCTCGGCTCATTGACTACATCTGTAATAAGGGGGGAAGACTGTCTAGATGTCTAGTGTACAGTTCTGATGCTGTACATTTACTAGCAACAATGCATCAATGCAGGCCTACACTATTCTTTACTCTAAACCACTGATGTTTCTGAATCACTGTCAGTTCTGATTCACCAGAACTGGAGGTCTAGGATTCAGCCTCTTTCTGACAGATGGTTTTGCATGTTGTTGTGTGGTAACTGTTGGGGAGCAACAGTAAATTTAGCTAGTAATGTCCCGTCTGATGATGCCGTTCCTGTATCTCCACAGTAACACCATGGCCAGCCCTGATAGGAGAATGTAAACAGGAAGCAGTGTTGATGAAAATAGCGACGTTTAAAGGAAGTACTGGCCCAAGGAACCTCGGCTAACTGATTTCTGTTTGGCCTCTGGCTAAAAGATCTGGTGGGACACTGTGACTAGCACTCTCCCTTTCTTCTAGTTTCACTCACGCCTACAGAGCAGGACTGTCTCCATCAAATTGTATTAGAAACTTATTTGAGCAACCGAGGGAGTTTAAAGCACAAACAATAAAAATGAACTTAATTAAATAACTCGTAAATAACTTTTATAAGATTCCAAAGAACTCCAATGGCAGAAGATAAAAGATCTTTAAAAAGTATCAAACAAATGTGGCAAAAGCACGGCGCATCCATCAGGCACTGTTTCTTACTATAAGAAGGACCAGAAGAAGGATTTAAAGGAGAACTTAAAGTATTTTTTTTCAATTAAACATTCCTGTGCTTGATAAAAGACTTGTATGATGTGTTTTATGCCGTCATTTACTCATCGGTCATTTTCTGGGTGTTGATTTTGTATGTTAATGACCATTGCTCTCATTGGCTGTCTCAGTAGGGGGGGCAGGGTAAGGGATATGATCACTGTGCTATTAGAACTCAACAATGGCTGCAGGGGAGGCACACACTATGAATGTTTGACTTTTTAGGCTTGTTTATGCAGAGAGCCAGACGCAGTCACTAAATCATGGGCATGCCTCAGCCACATGTCATTACGCAGTAATGTCTAATGCAGAAATTCGCTTTGTAAGCAAATTTTGTTCACTTGTTTTGCCAAAATAATGTCAAGTTCTGGTAGCCTAATCCTAACCCTAGATATCACTGTTTTACACCCATCCATCAGAGACGTGTGTCCGTGTGTGCGACGGCAAAAGTACGAAGGCTGGCTTAGTGGGAGTTTTTATTTAAGTGGGGCATAACCTTTGCTTGATATGACACAGCACATCCTAACAGCCTGTATAAACATGAGGGAAAATAAGCCAAAACAACAGAGACTTCAGGTTTTAGAATTTCTGATACAATTACTAGTAGCTTATATGTGAACAGGCAGGGAAAATGCAGTTTTGTTTATTAGGTCCCCTTTAAATTACGCATTTCTGATTCATCAAGAAACAATAAAATATTATTTATCTATATTTCTTTCATTCAGTACTCATGAGAAACCTGACGGAGAGTATCACAGACTGAAAGTAACAGTACAGAATCTAAGTATAAAACAATGATTTTCAGTGTGCCTTATTAAGAGACTGTGATAACAGAATACAAAGAGTAAGACAGAGCAGATCATCGCTTTGTATTGTTATTTCATTAGTGCACCATAAACATATCGTTGATGTCCAAAGAAAAATAAGTCTCTCCAAAATGGTACGTTTACAGGGGAGGCCAAAAATGTTCTATACTTTCAATGGAAAATAATGTAAAATGATTTTATTCCAATCAATTTTGTAGCATTTCTATTGAAATTGTCACACAATGTAAAGAGTAGCTGCCAGGCTCAAGTGAAGCAGAAACGCTAAAAATTTGAAAAAAATGGAGATACATGGTTTTATTTGGACAGTGATGATATACAGGCCTGAAGTCTTATAGTTACCAATCTGTGGCAATTTATTACTGTGGCACTTTTGTAGCCCTTTCTGCAGTTTTGCAAAAGATCTTCTTAAGTTAGAAGTAATTATTCTCATTTCCTTTTCCAAGAAACAGCTGTTTATGTGGGCCATCACTGCTGGGAAGTTGCTGCATTATTAAGCTACATTTCCCAGTAGTTTATAGTAGTTTATAAACTTTCTAAGGTTTGCTATATGCACACACAGCCTATCTAACCTCCATAGAGAAGCACTGCCAATAAAATGAGATGCTCTGGAGCAGCCAAAGAGGAGCCTAAGGTCACCAGCCAAGCGTCAACTGGAGGGGTCTAAAGCCCCCCAGCACAGGGCTGTGGAGCAGTGGAACTACATTCTTTGCAATGAAGGAGTACCATTCAATACATTTGGGATAAGTTGGAGCAGCATTTGTGATCCAGATCTAATCATCCAACGTCAGTACCTGAACTCACCAATGCCCTTGAGACTGATTGTAATCAAATCCTCACTGTTAACTCTGTTAGTAGTTTAAAAGCATTAAGGAAAAGTTGAGGTATAATTTTAGACGTCCAATTTAAATATTATCACTATTGATTTATTATACATTATATTATATTATATTTGTTGTATATTATATATTACAATATGATAGCGCATGAAGGTATCAATATAATATTATTATCATTAGGTTCCCTCCCACTCTAGAGTAGCATCTACATTGCTAGGTATTACTGCCATTAATAATTCAGTTTATACAGTATATAGTATTCACTGAACAATGTTTGTAAAGAAGACACCTCAACATATTAATGTAGCTTCCTTTCTCTTTGTGGTGGCTTCATCGTAGAGCTTCATTGACTACAATTCTATATATATGTCTTCACTTTAATCTGGCCCCTTGGTCGCTTTCAGAGAAGTTGTGTGAAAACACACACGTCCAGCAGATGAGTGTAATCTCAAACTATGGGCTGCCACGAAAGCATCTGACGCACCGTTCCTCTTCCTTCCTCTTTATCACCATAGAAACGCAGAAAAAAACTCACTTCACAACGACTAAAAGGACGTTTCTCTAAAAGAGAGGAAAACCATGACAGATATGTTTGGTCAAGGATAATGTTCTTAAAAAACGTGTGATAACAGGCAAGCTAAACAAGGTCAACTGACGGCTAAGTGTTCATGCAAATTAGTGACGATTTGCTAAAAAGCTCAAGAACATGGCCCAATACAGTATTATCACGATGAGACTTTACGAAAAATGTGATTAACGAGGCTAATGTAGCTAAAGGAACAAATAATGGAAGCATACAGCACTAACTGGCATTGTATAAACTGAATGCCAGTATGTCATCACATACTGTACTCTAAGTATTTTCAAGCAGACCTATGAAAAGATGTGGTCATTTTGTAGCTAGGTACAGGCCAATATTTATTATACAGCACAATATGTCACAATAAGCTTTTCTGAGCATATCAGGGATATTGTCAGTAAAAATGCTTTCCAACTGCATGTTTGATTAAACAGAGAGCATAAATAGTCCTGTTTAACTGAAGTTCATGCAGTACAGTATGTGAAATGTAAAATGCAAATAACTGGATTCATAGTTTCTGACAGTCTTTTTTAATTGTTGCAGTGCTATGTCTGTTGGAACTTGTCAGATGCCAGTAAAAATAAATATCATGACTTATCGTGTATCATGAAAACATCTTGTATCTTGATATTACATTTTTGCCATAACGACCAGGTCTAAGTCTATAGGCATGTGTATGTTTAATCCACTACTGAAAATCAAATTACTACTGAAAATTCAACAAAATACTACTGTTAGCTCATTCATCAACGTTGAGACTGCTTTTTATGAATAAACACATATCTTAAAACACAGATTCCCACTTGTGTGGTGTTTAAGCTGTCATGAACTGTTGTATTACATGAAGTAATTTGGACATGCAGTTGGAAACCATGCTAGTTGTGGCTATACTCTGCCATCATTTGCTAGCTACATAAGCCTTGTAGCTTCAGTGCAAAACAACCAAATATGTCCTGGCTGACTGACTACATCTGGAACAAATTTGTGTACATTTCAATTTTTGTCAAACTATTCCTTTAAGAATAAATACCTACCTTCCACCAGCACCATATCCTTCAACTTCTCCACAGCATCTGCAAAGCGGGCCACGTCCCTTAAAAGTGGAGGGATTTCCTCCACATCAATGACAGTCCCCTCTGCATTCTCCATGGTTGGGCTATGGGCCAAAGCAGCCCTGCCATGGGCCTTGTTGAAGCCCCAGGTTCCAGCAGTCTGGAAAGGGAAGCCAGCAGCACTGGCATGGCGACTGAGGCCTGTGGGCCGTTTGAGATTTGGGGCTGGCGAGGAGCACCCACCCAGCTTGGAGTGGATGGCTGGTGTGCTGGGACATGAAGAGGGGACAGAGTCCAGCAGTGCCTGAGTGGACAGACCATCAATAGTGTCTCTGTGAGGCTGCTCCTGGAGAACGGAGAGCTGGGATTAAACAAATGAGAGAGAAAGAGAGGGAATGGATGGGATGAGAGGCAGTGGAATAATGGGTTAAAAGATCAAGATGGATACATGGGGTGTAGTTACTGAATGAATGATGATGAGATGGTTAATGAACATAGGTCGTACACACTGGCATAGTTTGACTATCGTGGTCGAGCATCGCTGGATTAAAACGTGGTCCAGGCTGATAGCATTTTGAATGGGGATTGTTAGCTAAAAGAATAATGTAATCCAGGACTAGTCGTAGTCTTTATCTGGGGAACAAACACTTAGAGTTCCACTGAGTTTTTGCAACATTTTGTGGAACTTCCTATAGTACCATACGAGTTATGACAGCTTTATGACACCAAAACAAACATGTTGTACAGACAGGCTTGGATGACAGCATTCATCACTAACTGCATTACTACTGCAAGTAGAGTGAATAGGATCTTGTCAGCTTCAGCAAACCTGACAGCATGTTTTCAACCCACTTAACCTGCAAAGGCTTCTCTGCCTCTGAACTGTCTTTCAGTTGTATTTAGAGCTGGGTTTCGAAATTCAGCACCTATACGGTACCAACAAAATTACATCAATACTATCAAGTACCAAAAAAAGTACCAATTTCAATACCTAGGTACTCTTAGCATCTGTTAACCAATAAGCATTTTTGGTCCAAAATCTAGACTGGTGATTGGCTGTCTAAATTACATTGCGTATACATTAATGGCAGCACTTCTTTATTGGAATGCAGTCAGTTGCAATCAGTAAATTTACCCACAAACTCCATTCTGGTTTAAACCACACACATCTTTACTTAAAAATTGAAATGACTGTATGAATAGTCACAATAGTATCAAAAGTGTTGTTCAGAAATCAGTATCGAAGTATCGGCATTAATATCCGTATTAAAGCGTTCTGAATGATATTCAGCCCAGGTAATAATTCAAACTACTATTATTAGTATTACTTAACACAGCAGATATTCAAGTTTCAAGTTCAAAATGTCTACAGACAGTAGCTATAAACCTCCTACAATCACTACTCCCTACACTGGAAAATCAGGAGCACTGTTTAGAACACTTCTAGCGAACAGAGTTCATGATTTAAATAAAACGTTTAGAACTAATGTGGGTATTCTGAGTCCGGTGTAAGTAGGTGGAAGATTAGGATGATTTCAATGGCTGCCAAAATACAGAAGCCCACAAAAATGTTACTTTTTTACATTTTTTTTCAGTGAATTAAATATGCTACAAGTGTTAATAGAACAGAAGCTTATGCTATAGTAACTAGGGATGTGCACGGGTACTCGAGTACTCAGTTAACAGTTGGAGGAGCCCGTATTCAAATACTGAAATCACTATTATTGTGTCCGTATACTGGAAGACAGAGAAAACTAGGCTAACAATTCAATGAAATGTTATTTTATGTTTTAACAGCACTGTTACATGTTAGGGTTTTGTAAGTATGTACGTACATTATGTTACATTTTGTCTCTCCGAAACATAAGTGCCTGATCACGTTGCCAAGGACACACAGTTTAGAACGAGACTGAGAAGTCAGAGGCAGTGTGGCTGTATCGCTGAGTAGTTTTAGAAACCAAAAAAAAGCTTTCTCTGACAAACTTATGTACTGGCATGTTGTCCACTGAAGAGAAAAGACCTTGTGTAGAAGACGATGAGTCCTCATCAGCACCCATTTAGCTTTAGTTTCTAGTTCAGAAGAAAACTACCGATTTGTCCAGGCTAGTTTTGAATAATAAAACAAGCTTTGAAATTGTATTCCTCCGCTGTACGCTAACTTTGGCCAAAGTACTTTTTAGCTGTTTTTCTTTCCCTGCGTTTAACTGGATGTTCGTTAACCAACTCTAACGCATACTCAAATATCAAAATTAGTGGGAATACACATCCCCAATAGTAACTGCTATTTTTCAGTGGAAAACAAAAGCACCTGAACAAAATCCCTATGTCCTACTGCAAATTTACAGAATCTTTAAAGTTTTTCTCTCATAGATCCACAGTGCAACACACCCACTGTTTTTGAGTTAAAATGTAATGTAATGTCATGAAATGTAAAAGTTTGACTTGAAAGAGAAGGTTTAGTAGACTTCTATCTTCCAGCCTGTGTGAAGCATGAATTAAAGCTGCAATATCTGAATGTCATGATCTGTAGCTGGATAAAGGAGATTTCAGTTGGTTTTGAATACTCTGTCTGTCCCATACTGGTTCATACAGTTCATTACAGAATTTGCTTTGATTGCCAAAATGCAAGATATCTGCAAGATAGCATTTCAAAATTGTGTACATTTTGTATACAGTATATTCAGTAGTCACATTGGAACAGATTCTGCTAAGGGAAATGCGCTGTGGCAAGCAGCCCACGCAAGTCTTCTGAGGGCCCAATATTCATACTGGTGCTCCTGTTGCTAGGTTACACCTGTTTGTACACTACCTATTTGTGGAGCATTGCAAGATTATAAGACCTCATGTAAGTATTTATCATGCTGTGTCCAAAAACCATGGACCACACTAATGAATGTGCTATTAATGGTGGTGTACTATTATGGTATACTATTTAATATAGCAGGATGCCGCTTTTGCAGAACACTACAAAATAAAAGACTCACAAAATAATGCACTATGTACCGGTCCACTGTAGTGACCACAGCAGTTTTGGCCTAGGTGTGAACGGGATCACATTCAACATACTGTTATTCTAGGAGATAGAGCTTTGTTTTATAGAGATGTTCTCACCTGTCTGAGACCACAGCTTCACCATTAATGCCATCACTGACTGCCAACAAGCTTTAACACTTTATTGTGGACAGCCTCATTGTATCAGCAGGTGTTGCTCATAACTACTTTAGCTACCCCGAAAGAAGTTCAAGAACTTAAATGGAATTTAAGAACTTAAAGTTCTTGAATTCCATCAATTTTTCTAAATTTCTGAATAATTCAGTTCTTAAGATGTAAACAGGTTCATTCAGAGTGCTCTAATGTGAAGTGGTTCATTGTAGATAAACTTGCAGACTTAGATTTATGTACAGTGTGGATGATAGGAAACTGGGGTCACAATGTCTACAGTACAAATATAATCATTTTATTTACTATCCAAAGCCACCAGTCATCCTACACGAGTCTTTTGAGCTTTTATATGTAATGTTGATGATGGTAAAATAATCTATAGGGATTATTTTGCCTTTGCCCTACATGTACCTCTCCACTATGCATGGATTAAAATACATTTTAAGCAAAACATTATCACAAACCTGTCATAAAACAAAGTGTCAGACATCAGCCAGTGTATATCTAACCATATCATATAATAACTTTCTGTGAGGGAGCTTTCAGAGGCATTAAACTCTTCAGAAGTCTCGTTCCTGTCACCACCACTTTGAACAATTCTGACTTTGCAAGTTTCTCTAGAACATAGCATTTCACACCAAACTACTCTGAATGATTTTCTTTACATCTTAACCATCTAATGTAGAATTTGTGAACAATCAGCGTTCCAGAGTTCCCCTTTAAACTAACTACTACAGCTAACTAGCTCTCCAGCAATGAGACGTTTTGCTGAATGGAAACACTAAAAAATAAGCACAGACTTTGCTCTTAGGAAAACTGTTAAATTCTTGCATTATTTTGTGCCACAGACTCTTTTACATGTAGCTTGTTATGGTCACGGCACCTACAATTATCGGTTTTCCACGACCCTTAAAGTGAAATTCCATATATTTTTCCAAAAGTCTGCATAATTAAATCATTAAGATGTAAACCAGGTAATTTAGAGCGGTTTGATGGTAAATGCTCTGTTCTAGAGAAACTTACCAAGTCAGAATTGTTCACAGTGGTGGTGACAGGACTTGACGCCCAAAGTGTTAACACCCTCAAAGAAAGCTATTAAATGAAATGGTTATGAATACGCTGTCGGAGACAGTTTTGCGACAGTTCTGATGTGAGCTTTTTGGCTTAAAGTACTTTTTAAAAATCATTCACAGCACATTCAGGATGTTGTAAGAAAAAATAGTCCCCAAAGCAAACATATTTTTCAGATTTACCACTATTTTACCATGATCAACATCACATAACTCAAAAGACATAAACGTTCATTAGTTGTCTTGGATAATAAACAAAATGGCTACATTTGTGTTGTAGACATGAGGACACCCAGTTCCAATCACCACCACTGTGAAGAGATTTAAGTCTGTAAGTTTCTCTGTGATGCACCATTTTGCATCAAACCACTCGGAATGACTTTTTTACATTTCAACAACTGAATTGCGAATTCTTTTATACTTAACTGAGATGCTGAACAACAAAAGATTTAGCTCCCATGAACCTAAATACTGTTTTTTTATTGATATTGGCCATGGTCGCATCATAGACAGATCATTTAATTTCCCACAACAGCAATGAGAATAATAAAAAATAGCCTGACTAACCAAAAACTGTTGCTACACACTTTTAAAAAGAAGGTTCTTTAGTAAAGGTTCTATTTAGAACCATTAGCTCTATATAGAACCATTTCATGCTTAAATATAAGAAATGGTTCTTCAGACTGATGGAGAATGTGTTGTATATGTTGTATATCTACATAGAAACAATTTGAAAACGGTTCTATAGCTACAGCACCAAAAAGAGTTCTGCTATTGTTATAACGTCAAGCCTATAACAATAAAGGAACCCTTTTTAGTGCTATATAGAACCATTTTTAAAAGGGTTCTATATAGAACCACATACAATACATCCTCTGTCAAGCTGAAGAACGATTTCACCACGAAAAGAACCATTTAAGCATGAAATGGGTCTACATAGAGCTGCCTTTACTAAAGAAACGTTGAAGAAACATTTTTGAGTGTAGTTTAGAAATTGCACTTTTTGACTGAAATTCATGAATAGTCGTGGTTCTAAATGGTTACTGAATCGTGAAAATACTAACTAAATGTGTTAAAAGGTTTAACTACACAGTAGTAATGTAAGTGTGTGGTTTGTAGTGACCACGTTGCTCAGAAAACACATTTTTAGAGAAGTTAGCCCAGAGCCGTTATGCTAACTAAATTAGCAGCCCAAACTTGTCACAGTAACTCTGAGAGGGAAGCAGCTAAAAGTCGGTAAACGGTAACGTTGGCGTGGTCTTACAAATATTGAAACCATGGTACAATATTTTTCTCTCCAGTCAGGGAAAAGATAAAAACGTTGAAAGTGTCTGGGGTGATTTAAGGAGTTAAAAATGCATTTAACGAGATACAGTATCAGGTACAATTAACGTAGCTAGCTGGCTAGCATAAAATATAAGAGTAAGAGAAGGAGAGAAAGCCGTTGAACTTACTGAGGTGTTGTGCGGTGGAGGATTTCCTGACTGAGTCTTCTTTGAAATCGAAGGCGCTTTGGACAGTTCCTTTTTCTTCCGAGAAAACATCTTTACGCTTTCCAGATTAAATTCAACAAACTGTAATCCACTTGTCCAGTAATACGCATCCCAAAACGGCAATTTGTTCTTTCACATCAGCCGCGAACTTTGACAGCTGCACTTGCCTGCCTCGACTCCTTTTCCTGTGATCTCGTCACAGCCCAGGCAGAAGCGGTTAGAGCTGCTGCTCTGCTGTCATCTGTTGGCGCTTCCTTCATTCAGATCGTAGCCCAGTCTCACTCCGATTAAGCAACGTTCAGTGATGGAAGTGAGTTCTTACTAGTGAGAACTGAAATCTAACATGCTTCAATATATTTTTATACTTGTAAAAGATGTATTTTGACACGTTATAACTATTTCATGTTTTGACTAGTCACTGATCACTGCGGAATTTCATTCAAGAACGTTTTACACTTTTTCACTCTTGAATAAACGGCATTCAGAGTAAGAACACGTAATGTATCCTCAACATATCCACGGTGAGGATAAATCAATACTTAAAAGATCAAAATTCCAGGCAAAATGAAATATTTAACCACAAGCACATCTGTTGTACACATGTCTACTCGCATCCTACAGTAGTGTCTAGTAGAGTCTAGAGCCCATGTGTCAAACACAAACCAGGCCCGCCACACAATCCTATCCAACCCGTAAAAGTATTTAATTTTCTATTCATATTAGCCCGTTTCACAATGTGCTGCACTACAGTCCCCAGCATGCACTGCAACGCAACGTGCTCCGACTCTGCTACCCCAACAACAGTCTGTGGGACAGCGGTTACACTTCAGTTCTACACAGTTCTGCTCAATTCCACACCAGTCATATCACCAAAATACATTTCAGCTGCAGTTCAACCATTATAAACACTTAACATCAGCTCAGCAGCTCAGAAATTGAGCCCACGTCTTAATGAACTTGCAGCAAAGAAAGGACGCCAGGTGTCCAGGTCAGGCAAATGGGCAGGTTTAATAGACCGAGCTGTGGACATTTAAACTTTGAATATTTCAAGCGTCCTTGTAATATTTCAAGGTCAACTACAAGTGTCTGTATTTTACTGGTGAGGTTTTTGACCATTGTGAATAAACAATGGCCAGTTCGGATTACAGCACAACATTATTTAAAAATGAAATAAAAACTATTTTTTTGTCTGGCCCACAGATTTGATGAGATTTTTAATATGGCCCTTTTACTGGTTGAGTTTGACACCCCTGCTCTGGAGTGAGATTTTCCAGTTCAAACTCTAGGAAAACCCCTTCTGATGACGTATATTGAAGGTGCAAACTTAAGCCAGATAGCTGACGTTACTGCTAGGAAGCTGTAGGTCATATTGCAACAGTATAACTACGGTAATGGTCTTCAAATCATCACTACAGCGGAAAAAAAACAGATAAACAACAAAGATGACTCGTCAGATGAGGAGAACAACAAGTTAAAAGCTAAGGTTAGCAAGACATGAAGTTAGATACCTGGCCAACAGTCTTTCTGACTGAAAGGGTTAACAACTGTCTCTGGCGCCCATTCGTGAGTCATTCGACGGAAACGTCGATTTTTGTGTCCCTAGTGTTTACAGATATATTACACTTGAAAAACATAAGGTTACAATTTATTTATATTTTAACAATTACACCTTCTTGAGTCATCAATTTAGTAATATTGGCTTTTAAATCAATTATCTAGAATTTCAAGCACCACAGAAGTGCTCGTCCTCACAGTCATGTGTAAAGGGTTAGTGCCATGTTTTGAGGTAATTTAAAAGCTATTCTGCAATTCTATTTTTGTGAAATGAAATGATTCACATGACAAAGAAAACAAATGCCAAATAAATATTATAACATATATAACGAAAGTTGTGGTCCCCAGGAGTCGTGTCACGAAATCATCACACTGATGACATCTCTTGACTTCCTTTTACTTATTTTCTAAAGATCTATGAAGAAAAGCACTTGGTAAGACCACTGTCTCTTTTCGGTCATCAGAAATTCTCATTTAGCTCATGGTTTCATACAAAGCTTTTAGCTGAAGTCAATGGCATGACCTACTTTATTCTTAGGTCATTGTGAAAAACTAGAATACAAATGGATTAAATTACATATTTTAGTGGATATTCCATGATTGACAAGATGTGGTTTGATGCTCTGTAGCAGTCATTTTGTAAAATGCGTTTCATTAAAAATGTCACTGGTGTTACCTTTCTTATGTGTAACACCAATGACAATCAGTAACACCAGTGACTCCTATGGATAGATAAAGTGGACGTTTCTGTAGAATGACCCTTTTGCTGAATAAAGTTTGAATTGCTGTTTTCTTTATGCTTTTGTTGAACAACTGAGGTAAGAGTTATGCTAACCCTATTGTATTTATTAGCCTATAGATCAGTTACTAGGCAAGCAGTCAGGATTGGTTGATACCACCAATACTGATCTGAATTATTTGTCTTGAGATATTAGATAAATGGCTCAAAATTGGGCCCAAAACTGTAAAGATGCAGTAAAATAGAATAAAAGTCACATTCTTACATTTTACTAGTGGCATAGATGCATACACAAGAGCTTTGTGAAATGCTACAGTCAAGAAGTCATTTCAACAATCTCTTTAAACTTTTATTTAATTTGTTAACAAAATTAATATTGCAGTACAATATATTCCTTCTGTGATGTTGTAGAAAACGTTCAGAATGAGTCAAAAGGCACAGTTGTTTACATTATGTACAGTTCTGTCTAAATCATAAATATTTAGATAAAATAAAGAAGCCCAAAGTAAAAGTGCTTAAAATAATTTTAACTGGAAACAATAAAAACAATAATAATAATAATAATACATACAAACAAACATACATACATACAGTCAGTAGCAGTTGTAATAAATGTTTTGTATTTATTATCAAAGTGTTTTTGTGATTTCTTTTGTACTTGCCAAGATATAAAAGTTTGGGCAGAGAAAGGGTATAGAAATCTGATTCTACAGAAGTTCCTGACCAAAAATGGAGCTACACATTGTCTCTTAGGTCTCTTACATACACAGTGGGCTCTTATCTAAGACCAGAGACATGCTTTACCTTTAGTAGAAATGTAGAAAAATTTCAAGGAGCAAATTACAATAACCCATAGTAAACAGTACAATGGCGTAGGAAGAAGGAAGATATTGACTGTCCAATCAGTGGAGGACTTTTTTGGGTAGTATCGTAAGTAATAAAACTTAATTCCTCACAACATGGGATATATGAATACCATCGGTTAGTCTGTGAAGTTTTCTCTCTCTGAAAAATTGAAAACTTAAAGTCTAGAAATACAGTAGTCAGAAATGTACCACAGCCTTTCACTGTGATACATTGCTTAAATGATTCCCTAACTGTTCCTGAGATTACACATGAGACCAAGCACAGACTGGAGGAGAAAACTTTGGTGTCACTGCATTCTATGGCCAAAGCCCAACAAGCGAGTTTACACGTATACTGACTTAGTGTGAAAGATGACTGATATACATACATAAATAAACATGTCGATGGTGGACAGCAGTGCAAGGCAGTGCAATAGATTTGGTGGCAGGTTAAAATAAGCTTTTGACTACATCTGCATTTGGGAATCAGGAAAAACAAAAGAAAAAAAAAACAGAACCCTGACAAGACATTTAAAAGTGTTAAACTACCAAACATGATTATAACCATGACTACCCACTACTAAAATGTCCCATGTATATAAATAACAATAATTATAGTTATAATAACAATAATACAAACACCAACAGCAACAATAACATCAAAGACAATAAATTGCTTCCATTCCACCTATACAAGAACATGTTGACCTCATAAGAAGAACCTCTTTGAAACATATCTTGGCTATCTTTTTTTTTTATATATATAATATTTTTCTGATGCATCTGAAAAAAACTGTTTCAACAGAAAACAAAGGCCTAACAGGAACCCTAATCAAGCTATAGATTCATCCTCTAGTTCGAGGGGCAGTTTAATCTTTATTGCTAAGTGTTATGCTCCCTCTGACAGGAGAGGTCCAGTGGTTCAACTGTCAAGTCTTTCACCTTTCATAATGTAATAGGTTCAGCCTAGTTACTAAAACAAAACAAAAACTCTTAAGATAGCCAACTTGCCTAATAAATAATTTGGTGTCTAACCCCCAAAGCTAAAACAGGTCCATCTTTAGTTATTTTAGTTAAATAATAATTGGTCTGGACAGTAATAAGTTTATACTATACCTGAGAAAGTACAAAAACAAGCAGTAAAGCAACCAAAGTACTTCATTTGCCTATGGCTGAAGTTTTTAGCTTTCTTTTCATAGCCTAGATTTTATCAACCAGTCTGTCCCTCTACTCAGGCTCAAGCCCATGGGATGGTAAAAAATAAAAAAATTCATGGGGTCAACAGGTAAAACAGCAGTTTTCAAATCGGTCAGTGAGCCCCTCTGGTGAAGCCTAATAGGCTTCGTGATGGAGGGAGCAATATGCTGGTCATAATAATATCACTAATCTCTATTTGAGAGAGACACACACACACACACACACACATAAATAAATATATATATATATATATATATATATATATATATATATATATATATATATATATATATATATTATTATCAATCATAAAAAAACAGGCAGTTCCGGTCCTAAAATCTGATTGGTTGAGCCAAAAATGTCTGCAGTATACAGTGATTGGCCACCAGACGTTCTTCTCCTCATTCAGCGGTCAATCGTTCATTAGCAACGACATCGTACTCTATTCTTGGCGGAAAACTTATGTTGAATATTATTAACTTATTTATCTAAACATCATGTATTTTAATATATTTTATGTTTGCCAAAGAACACCCTTCCCCGTTACAGAATCGCAGTAACACATGACCTTGAGTGGCTTATTGCTCCACACACAGACACATTTTTTATATATATATATATATATATATATATATATATATATATATATATATATATATATATATATATATATATATAAAAGCAATAGAACATGAGAGGGAGTGTGTTATTGCGAAATAACATCACAGCCATGATGTTATTCGCAATAACACGCGACCTAGAGTGTTCTACTGCTTTTATACAACAGTTAAATAAATAGTCAGAAATAAATAAATTGGGCCGTGAACGTGCCATTTAATACGTTTTAATGTTAGCAAGGTCAAAGTAGCAGCTCCTTGTTTTGTTCCAGCCAGTATGTAAAGCATTTTACAGCCCATTTTGCTTGATGAAAGGTATTCAGTTAATTTCTGGCTAATTCCAGGTTGTTTAGGTGTTCTTCTGTCACAGCTGCCGACTGAAAATCTTGCTTACTGGTAATGACAGTTTCGGAATTTAGTGTAGTCTCATCTTTAGAGTCTGACCAAATCGACTGTAGGTCAAATGTGATCTTAAAAGTATCCATTATTTGTTTGTGCGCAAAGTAAGAAGTAAAAACGTTCAAATGGCTTGACCGTGTCCTACAGCTGTCAAAGTTGTTGCTCAGCAACAGCGTCATAGCAGAGTTATGCAGTGTTTGTGAGAAACGACTCTCAACCGATCAGCTTGAGTGGCCGGAACTTACTGTTGTTTGTTTGTGTGTATATATATATATATATATATATATATATATACATATATATATATATAAAAACATACACAGACGAGTTGAAAATTGAAAGACTGCATCTTAAAAATATGAAGGCACTGACTGAGCTAAAGGCATTTTGTCCAGGTCTGATTGAACTCCTCACAAAAGCAAATCAACAATGTGTGTGATGAAAGCCATAAACGAATGTTAATGAAAAAAATGAACAAGTATCAACCTTAAAACAGCTAAAGATGCATGAACTAGGATTGATCACCCCTTCCTGTTTGGTCGGTGCACTCAAGGCATTTGTAACAAAGAGAAACACACAAGCAAATCCGTCACATTTGGACAAACATGCCGAGAGCTGCATCCTTCAGAAACAGGACAAGAAGCGACAGTGACAAATGTCAGTTAGTTACTCCCATTACAACACTTACAATGGATTTGAGATGACTACAAAACCAAGAGCATCTTAACTAATGTACCTTGAACTCTGAAAGTGTATTTTCATTTTCAGCATACACTGAGACAGACTGTGTGAGGCATGTACAGCGAAATCACTCCTAAAAGCAGCCAGGGCTGTTTCCCTTATTGAAAGGTCATGTTAGACAGCTCCAGTCTCATCTGAGCTATGAGGATTACCAAGTCATCTAACTCCATAAGAGAATATGAAGCACCCCTAGTTAATGGACCATAACTTTACTGAATGAAAAAACACTGCTGGCTGAAACACCTTTGAAAATAACTAGCTTATAGGGGAACAAACTTACTAGGGGAACAAACTGAAGAAAAAGAGGGAAAAAAACTCTTCTACTTCTGAATGAGAAACACATCTGCTGGACAGCCTTGAGATCACAAAAAATTAAGGAGTCCAATTCTGGTCCTGGAGTGCCTTTGACCAGCACATTTCAGTGATTTCCCTTAACAAAAACTTACTACATGCGTATGAGCAGGGAAAGCATCAATCCACACTGGACTACAGTGTTCCTGGACTGGAGCTGGACATCCCTGCAATCATGAGAACTGACAGTACTAACATGTGCGTGTACAGTGGTGCTGTAGATTCACAGGCACTCTCTTGAGTGGCCACTAGCTGTCCCAGTCTAGCGGTTTGTACTGAATGACGGACTGGCGGCGGTCGGCGGAAGCTCCACGAGTCATAAGGTCCAGTGGCTCACGTGCGTCCAAAGCATCCATGCTGCAATGGCCGTTGACTTGAAGGTGAGGCCGCTCAGAGGAGGGAGCAAAGATGGAGGAGGAGACAGAGTCTGAGAGTGAAGACGAGGAGACGACAGAGGGGAAGAGGGACAACGTGCTCTGGGAAGAGCAAGAGAACGACTGAGAAGAGGAGGACAAAGCTTGAGGAGCTTGAGAAGAGAATGTGTATGGAAAGTCAAAATCAAAGTCGTCCTGTGGAGCTGTGGAACTTTTTAGCACAGGCTGGCTGCTGATGGCTTGCGATGATTGCTGACACGTTTTTAGTGAAAGTGATGCATGTTCGTTTACCGGCACTTGCCTTTCTAGCACATGTGAGTGCATGCTGGGGGTGTGGGTGTGCATCGATGCATGTTGATGATGGCCCTGCTGTAAAGGTGAAGGTAACAATGAGTGAGACGGTCGTGGCATGGTATCCGTGCACTGCTGAAGCTGGTGTCCGTGCAATGTGTGGTTAGTTAGAGTGTTAACTTGCGGCTTATGCTGTGCAAGTGGCTTGCCCTCGTTGTTCTGTAGCCGCAGTATCTGTGGGTTAAACCGAGCTGCTGCCTGACTGGAGTCCTGCGGGCTGAACACACTGGGTGCGTGCGCCCTGCTTTGTTGAAGCACCCCTAGTGCCGTATGCTGCTTCAGCGTGTGGATGGTCTGTGGGCTGTTCTTCAGCTGCTGCTTCAGAGCAAGGAAGCTGGGGGCCTGCGAAAGGCGTGACTGAACGTGGGCCATGGCCCCCTGTAATGGAGCTTGACGTTCCCTCTGCTGCTCTTGTGAGATCAGTTCTTCCAGGTGAAACGTTTCAGGAATCTTCAGCCCTCCACTTCCTCCTCTTCTTTGCATCCCAAAGCCACCATTTATGCAAACTGCTCCGTTCAAAGCTGAGCTTCCATTTGCACCATTGGCTATGGGCTCTGGGGAAGGGCAGGGGCTGAGAGTGAGGTCAAGTACCTCGTCAACATTCTGGCTCTTAGGTGGTGCAGCCTGGCCTGGGTGGGTGCCTGGATAGGGCGGAGGGTGTTTGAAGGCTTTGCAGCTGAGCAGCGAGAGCTTCTGTTGCTCCAGGCGTAGGAAAATCTGACGGGTACGCTGCTCCTGCAGAAGCTTCTCCTGTGCAAGCTTCTGCTTCTCCTGCCGAGCACGCTTCACCTCCGCATCCATCTGGGAGAGCTCACTGCGTATGCGCTCCACACAGTTCTCCGGGATCTTTATACCTGAGACACATTTAATACAACTTTACGACTATGCAAGTGACAACATTAGTCACTACGGAATAAATTTGAAATACCTGTCTGATACTCACAGTTACATGTGACGTTTGACTAACTAATGAGGATTAACAGCCAAATTATTTATACTGTCACTTCTAAGGTAAGGTCATTGTGGCAGTATGGAATTCACTATGGGAAGTGTTGGCTACAAATGTGACCCTATTAGTTTCATACCACATAAAAAAAAGAATTGTTTATTGTAGACAGAACATTGAATGGTGGCAGTGGCAAAGGGAAAGAAATCGAAGGTTACAGTTACAAGTAATAGTTTAATTAGGTGATAGGTGAAACAATTAAATAAAATCATGATTAGTTGCAGCCATAAACAGCTGAATCACTGAACAGCTGTGACAAAGTTTTAATACCCACCAACTTGCTTGCTGTTCTGTTTGGTTTTGAGGCGCACAATTTGTAAGATGCTGGAGTTGGTGACATCAGAGACCACATCTGCGACTCGCTTCCACACTCTTAGCAAAGCTCCACACAGCATGTGATACTGCCGTAGACGCATGCCCAGCCAGCACTCCTGGCCCTGCTCCACCTGCTTACACTTACCCTTCCTACTTACGCACACACAATGAAAATACAGAAAAACAGTGTTAAGTCAGCACTCCTGCGGCCTTCTTATATCATTGACAGTATTTTTAAACTGGACCCAAGAAATCTCTCAGTTTTCAATGGGGACCAGGAGAGGCTGATCGTGTCACTTCCTGATTGGCTTCTTGTGCAGAGGACTAAGAGAACATGCGAGACTGCAAACGCCTTAATGATGCAAACCTCCAGTGTGCAAAAAAACGTATAGTTTGTAGAACATGCTGAAGGGAACATAAATCATCACAACCATTCAGCACCATAGTACACCATCACCATGTAAAGAATTTTAGTTACAGCTTCCTGCATCATTGGTTGTTTGTAACAGCCTCAACTAGACATGTACGACAATGCTGATCATTAATGCTAAACAAATACATAAGAAAATGAACAACTGTAAATAATGTAGGCTATTGTAGGAACAGTAATAATTATTTTCATCATTATTCCTATCTAGGGAACATTAATATTGAAGCTATATAGCGCTTGACAGACCTGTAGAAGAGGACAGGGCTATAAGGTAATCTAAAGCTCAGGTGTGCCTATTTTTATAGACTGAAGACTGAACGAAAGGAAGTGAATAAAGAGTTTCTCTCAAATGGCCTCTCGTGCCTAAGAAGCTTACTTCCGGCAAAACGGTTTGGAAGGCAAAAGCTGGGGGCCTGACTTATACACATCATTCCACTACGGAAAGGGTGTCCAGTCTTACCCAAAAAGGGACAGTGGGGCTGGAGGTTTTCTGTCCAAACATGCTCACACCACATGAGCACACCTTACTCCACTGACTTATTCAGTCAGTCACTGTGTTCAAACAATAAGTCATGTGTGCTCCTGCTTTGCTGGAAAGAAAACCTGCAGCCACACTGCCCTTTCGCGGGAAGACTGGACACCCCTGCTCTTCTGCCACAGTCCACCTGTTTACGCTTACTTATACTGCAAGCATGAACATACATACAGCAGTTCTATGCAGCAGTACACACTCCTGACCAATTACATATGGAATACTTATAACCAGTTTTATTATTATAGCGCAATGCTTGCCCACAGTGTTTTGCCACTCACCAGTTGGCATGGCTGCATTTCTTAAATGAAAAGACAAACTGATTCTCCCAGCAATCCTTGGCTTCATCTGCCGTCACCTACAGTAGCACAAACCAGAGAAAGGTCCAATAGTTTAAAGGTTACTCTATAAAACTGAATCTTGTTGTACTGCAATTCAACCACTAGGTGTCACTATGCAACCACTGATCTACTGGCTACTCCAACTTTTAAGGTTAGAAAAACTAAGACCACTTTAACAACAGTTTATTTAATATTAATTAACCTCAATAATTTCACACAGGGATCATCAATTCTGTGGTTCCAGGACCTTGCCTGCTCAAGCACCCCAACTAAACATGGCACTTCATTTAAGAGTTGAATCCGGTGTATTTGAGCAGGACAATCTCAGAACAGCGTTTGACTCTGGGCCAACAAAACCAGAACTGACAACCCCTGCTTTATACTGTGCCTGCTGCAATTCCACAGCAATACTATACTACAGACTTATATATATATATATATCACACACACACACACACACACACACACACACACACACACACACATATACATAGGCTCACTCCTGACCTTGCGGTAGCGCAGCTGCAAGTTGTCCAGGTTCTCAGGATGGGCCTGTCTGCCAATGTTGGGCTTGTACAAAACGAGATTACGACCTCTGCCTTGCTCTGCCAACAACACACATGGCTGGCTCCCTCGCAGCTGAACACACACAGATACATAAAGACTATTAAAAATTCTATTTCTAAAGTATATACAGTTGTGTAATTTATTAAATAAACCAACAACATGTGCAAACCACTGAAAAAAAGCAACCTTATTAGTAAATATTAGTAAAGTAAGTGATTAAAGTAAAACTACTAAGTACCTTGTGGGAGAGATAAAAGCCCTCATGTTCCCTGGTCAGCGTCTCTGCTTTCCTGCAGGCCTCATCCCAAGGCATTCCCCGATCCACACTGATCTGAAAGCAACAAGATAACGCATGTCTGTTTGTGCAGCATTACAAAACATTGCTGCAGTTGTTTTGCTGCAAATTTAAGAAAAAAATACCAAAAGAGGGAAGTTTCAAAAGTTCCCATTGCTTCCCATAGTAATTAAGAAACTAGGGACAACATGTGGGCTGTATATACCTTATACAGGATAACCTGGCCTTCCTGGGGGTTTCCAGGGGTTAGAAAAACTTCCTGTTTCTCCTCGTGGATCTCATCATTACCTGGAGCCAAATCTGATAAGAGGAGAACAGACAGATCAACAAACATCCTCCATATACAGGCTCTAAGTAACAACACTAAGTTAGCCTTTTTTCCCCCAACCACAACCCCAGGGGCTTCCCCAGTGTTTTCTCTTCTCTACATTTCCTGATTCAATAAATGGAGGGAGTGACATTGAACTTATAAGTTATAACAGGTGAGAGAGCAAGAAAAAACTTCACTGTGCAATGTCTGGGCATCCCCTCCTGGGACTGGAGCTGGAGAACACTGCTGTGAGCAGTACTTTCAGTTCCAGTATTGCAGTATCTGCGGCACTGCCAACACTGGTAGTAAAGGTAGTGTAATTTGAGACTAAATGCGCCCAGAGAATCGAAACGTGGAACCAGAATACATAAAAACAATTTGATTTTAGTAGAACAGGATCACTTCTGATTCCTAAAATGAGTCGGCAGACGATATACAACAATATCTAGGATTTACCATCTAATGACCCATCAACTGTGGAGTGCAATCAAATTTCAAAGTTAGAACCTTTACTTTAACAGTACTTAAAAATATACTAACAAAACAACCGCAGGGCATCTGGCATTAAATAATAACGATAATATGATAAAAGGGAGATAAAGATATGCTTGGCTTATATATGTAGTTGTCCACTGTTCCACAGTTATGCAATTGAGCTACTATCTAGGCACTGAAGTTTAGTCTTCTATTTGTACCATACCAGTGAGTGATGGGGAGAGAAGATATATCCCATGCAATATTTAGACAGTGTGTTTACCTCAAACCATTCAGGAGCACAAGCTGCTTACCAAGGATGCCCATGTCATATTTGCCTTCCTTCTTGTCCTTTTCAATCAAGTAGTCGAAGTTGTCGGTGAAATACTGGAAGAGTGAGTTCTGCTGATGCACTTCCAGGCCCAAAATCCGGTTCAGGAACTTAGTGATTGTGCAGTCTATGATATGAGAGGAAAAACAAGTCACCCCGATTAAGCTGGACCAATAAACTCCTTTGGGGAAATCAATCAGAACTCGAACAGCATCATCCAGAATAAATACAAATGCAGGGGGGATAAACTGAATTCTAGCATGAACTTTAATTAAAGTTTAATCTGACAGTGACTGGCATTTTTAATCTTTAATGTTCTTGTCCACAGAGCTCCCAGCCTGACAGCATCTCACATTCTAAATGAAGCAGCTCACTGAAAACTCAAGAAAGCACTGAGATGCAGGTCAGTCGAGATGATCAGTGCATCTAGATAGGGCTGCAAAGTAATGGAGTATTGTGGTGCAGCCACTGACTGCAATTGTGATATGCCTGAAAATATCACAAACACAAAGGACTGTCGACTTGCCTGCCACATTTAGACCAAAATGAAGTTTTTATTGGATTAAGTGAGCTCCTTGATTAGAAATATATGATGCTATCGAAATCATATCCATATTGGTATATAATTTCTTATAACAAATCGACAGATTTAATTTGACTGGTATTTCAAACCAGTATTTATTGTACTCTGGAAGAACAGAACATTCAGATAAAGTTGGGCTGCTGTGCTAAAATATTTCCTTTTATACATTTTGCTACATTTGTGGCCAGTATCAGTATCGGCCCAAAATTCCCATATCTATGCATCTCTAGCCTTAATGCTGCAATAACATTAACAAATAACATACTGAGCACCCCTACTACGAAGCACAACTATTATGCTCTGGTAGAGCTGGCTAAATGCCTTAAGAAGTTTTAGACAGACAGTTAGAAAAGAAAGCAGCTTTAGGCAGTGTCACTGTGACCGCTTTGAGCACTGCATTTTTGTCATTATTAATGCATTACCATTACCTTTCTCTGTGTTGAGTCCAAATCGTGGTTCTTTACAGAAAATACCCACATCAGTCATGCCTTTCTTCATTTCTGAAAGTCACAAACAAGATTGTTTATTAGTTAGACACTGAAATAAGGATGTTCCACCTCTTTAAAAAGGCATCTCATTAACAATGACTAAAGTTAAATTAACGTTTCCACAACACAAACTAAACAACACTGTATGCATACAGACAACATAGCTGTGAATAAAAAGTTGTCCCAACCTGTGAAGAACCTTGCTTCACCCCCTGGATAACCTTTTGGTGCAGTAACTTTGTTGTCAATTTGTCCCAGTATAGCTTTAGTGATCTTATCCAAAGCTTTGGTGCCATACTAAGCAAAGGAAGAGAGACAAACAGAAGAAACATTTATTTATATTTGTTTCAGGCAATATTTCACAACTGTATTCCAAAAGTGAACTGTTCTTTCAGCTTAATATCATGGTTCTGGCAAAAAGTATAATTTATGCAGTTTGCCTCTTACCACAAATGACAACAGCCTGAAACCATGCTGAGTTGCATTGTAATCACAAATAAACTTACTTATGTGGTTTCTGTCACTTTGTATTATATTGTTTTTGCAAGCATTTTGAATGATACTAACTTCTGACTATACTATCCTCATAGCTACAGTATACAAGTAAACAGTTTTTGCCAAACCACTGCTTTAAACCCTTAGCTAAACTACCCTATCATACTAAATATATTTCTTATCTGAGTGTAGCTTATAAACTAAACCTGGATCTAGATGTAACAGACAATGCATGGAAAGAAAAGCTGTTAAAAATGTAAGATTTTACAGACCCCCTACAGAACATTGTAAGAGATATATATTTATTATCTTTATTTATATCTTTAAAATCTTATTAAATTGCTATCAATTCCTTTTTAATCACGTTTATCTGGAGCATTTTTGTCCATAACATGCAAGCATGGAACTAAGAAGGCCTATGTTCATATGTGTGTACACTTACTTTGTTTTCAAAGTTGTATTTGCTCAGGTCTCTGCTCTCTGTGGCTCGTCTGTCACCATGTGTCAGGGCACCCTGATGGGGAAAGATACAGCCATGAATATCTCTGGTACATTTATGCTACTTCAGTTTTGTGCAGCGTATTTGCATGAATGTTGAGCAGGAAAGGCCAGTGACTGTACTGCATTATTACCAAACTCTCCAGGCGCTTGGCCACAATAGATGCGAAACGTCTCTCTCCCGCCAACTCTGAGATCAGAAATATATACTCTGGAGCAGTCACCTGATTAGAGCGATGAGTGCGACCTATAGAAGCAGAAATCCACTTCAGCCAAAGCCATACTCTACTTCATTCAGCCTTCCAATGTTATACATAGTTGAAGAGAACTGCAGTCCTAACAACTCAGCAGGTACACTTTCTCTCATATGCACGCACCAAACTGCTGGATGGCGCGGTCAGCACTCCAAGGCAGCTCCAGGGTCATGTGTACCCTCCTCCTCTGGTTCTGCACTCGTTTATCTGCCTGTAGAGAGATCCCTGAACTTGCTGCCTCTGAGATGATCGCCACCAGCTGAGAGAAAGAGAGAGAGAAATAACAGAAAGCGGGCAGAAGACAGACAGAAGAACAGAGTGAGACAAAGGGAAAGAAGGGAGAGATTAATATGTGAAGAGAGGTAGTTCAGTAAAAAATCTGAGGCATACTACACACAAATGTCAGCAGCTGTAAATATAATACAAAGCCTGAGATTGAGGGCTCTCTTTACCTTCTCTCCTCCCATGAAACGCTCCTTCTCTTTGACATTAACGTGGTCAATAGTGAGCCCCTGCTCCGCCCGTGATTCATACTGGACCCTTCCATCCGGCCTTCGCACTACACGGCCCTTGCGCCCTGTCATCTACATGCATACACATCATTTATACAACTTTGAATATTTGAAATAAATAAGTGTCATTACCTACACACCTATTTAACATTACATAAGATGACTGTTTACGTTTTTAAAATCTTTACTAAGCTTGATTTGTAGTCATGTGAATATTCACCTCAGCCACTTTCTCTGGCCCTCCAAACCTGTCAATCAGCTCATCCAGTGTGTTAAGAGGAAGCTCTTTCCCCAGCCCCGCTATCTTAGCCAGCAGTCCATGCCTCAGTTCCTCCAGTTTTGCTGAGGGCAGGAGAAAAATCATAAGTCACACTCACACACACACACTCTTCGACAGGCCCAGCTGAGAGACGGGAAGAAAGCTGAATCGCTCCCATGTGATTTAGTAGTCTAGACTAGAAATTATACTCCGATTTAATAAGCACACCAGAGCTGAAATCAAGACAGACTGAAACACTGGGCTTCAAGGCATGCCCAGAACAGTCAGATAGAATGAGCTACTATGATGCAGCAGAAATAAAGTGATTACATGGAATGACTTGGCTATAAAGCCAGTGATTCTACAAGCTGGCCTGAATGACTTTTAACCCTCTTAGTTCTTAGGCCAGGCATAGGGGATTGATTCACAAAAGCTTAAAGATATTCTTTATTTTTAACAGCCAGACTCAGAATTCCCAAATCTCCTGCTCCAGTCAACGTACCTGTAGGTCCATTGATGTGGTGGACGAAGATGACGTCATCGTTGTCTTGCAGTGACTCAGGTGAAGAGTTTGAGTAACTGTCTATATCCTCAAAGTCCGAATCAGAGTCATCACTGATCTTAATGACCCCTCCCACCTCCACACAGTGCTTTGGGAATTTGGGTGGTCGACCTCTAGGCTTTCCTATGAAATCCCAATCAGGAACTATTACTTATGACCGATTCACACACATCCAACACCAACACAAGCAAAATGCTTCTATTTGGTAAATACATTGCCCAACATATTAAAAGGCAAAATACTCGATAGTGTAGTCAATTTAATTATCAATGGGTAGTGTATGGCCACTTACGTTTTCTTTTATTTCCAGGTGTTTTCTCTCTCTTCGGTTTCTCTAATGGAAAGTGCTTCTGAACCAGAGAATAGAACACACGCCTGGAAGCAAACACCATGATGAATCTCTCCCATCTCTCTACCACAGAACCACTCATAACCATACTATTCACATTAGTCTTAAATCTACGTCTCATATTATGGTCCAATAGAGAGAACTTCAAGTGGTAGTCTTGATGGTAGCTTTGAATTACAAAATTGTGAAACCTTGTATGACTGGCAAAGAAAAGTACAGACAGCAGATGTATTTTTAGACTTGAAAGAGCATCAAAAGACCAACTGCAGGATAATGCATCATTTCATATGGCCCAGCCAAGCCACAATTTTAAGCATGGCCTATCAGGACCTTCAAGAGTTCACAGGGATACTTAAAGCTGTCAGCAAATTTCAAACAATGGAGGAACTAAACGAAACAGAACTACTGCCAAACACCTTATTGTAAGTATACTTAAAAATAACTCAGCATCCATAGAACCTACTCTGTGCAGTGGACCATGTGACCAACAGCAGTCAGAGGGAGGTCTCTGTTGCAGTGATTAGGAATTCCATGTCCATTTAGCCAGAAAAAAATATTTTTTATTTACAGTATACTGCAGGTTTTAAGTGTCTGTTCCTTGACACTGTATGACAGTTACTTCCAAAATTGTGTACAAGTTATCATTAAATCCATGAGAGCGATATTATAACCAGTTTTTTTTTTTATTTGTGGTTAACATTACACAATATGACTAAGGCTTAAATGCCAGCTTATCTCATCTTTCTCATGGCAGCAGAATGTTTAATTTATATTTCTGGCAGCTTCAGAAAAACTGGATCTGGTCATCTACCATGCAGCAGAACAAAGTACTGTAATGGCATGTTGACACACATGCATTCTTATTATATGGACTGCAGGGTGCTTATCAAACTATAATTCTTTTAGCAGCTGTTCTGCTCAGACATGGTAATGACCAGTTAGCTGCTCTGTAGAAGGGGCTCATGTTACAAAGAGCTCTTGAGAAGACTTTGGTCCAAAACTGATAAATGGTCTAAAATGAACCCTGATTCACATCCTAGATCAGAGTTTTGCTCTTTGAATTCCTTGAACAAAAAAAAAATTACCCACCAAATAATCTTGACAATCTCTTTGATTCATCCCAACAGTTACAAATTGGGTCAGACATGGACGGAGCTCCAGTCAAGTTCTTAGCCATGTGGCTAACAATTACTGAAAGCTAATGAAACAACCATGTAATTAATTGTAAAGCATGTTAATGTAATTTTGGCACAAAGGCAAAAACCAACACAAGAATGTGAATACAAAGATCTGACATTTACCAGCTCACTATTACCGGTTCTAAGATTCAAGCTATGGCAAATTACTAGTCTGTTTCACACATGAAGAAGCTGCCAAGCATTCATCTAAAGAACAAGATGAGAGAAGAGCCAAAGGTGGAACCAGAGTACGGAGGTGAAGAGGAAACAATTTGATTCAGTTATGGACTAAGCCTTAAACTCCAAAGGAACTCACTCAGCTGCAGAGACAAATCTGTCCAGGTGTCCATCATTCTCATCCAGCACCTCTCGTGTACGGGCCTCACCGGTCGACTGTAGCCCAATCACAATGCACTACATATGTGCGCGCACACACACACACACACACACACACACACACACACACAAAAACAACAGATTAACCTATTTGCCCACACTTACACAGAAGGCTCTGGCTTCGGTTTTTCAATCACGGTGACAAAGACCATTCATTTCATCAACAATAACAATTAAAACTTCAGTCACTGTCTCTCACCTTGCCATGTTCCATCTCAGCCTGAGCAAGCTCCACCAGGCGGCGCACTTTGGCGGCAATGCAAAGGTATTTAAAAAAGCGCTGGTGAGAGGACCAGAACTGGCCCCAGAGGGACTTGCGCGAGACCAGTCCTAGCACGTCCGCTGCCCTGGTGAACAGGTCCAAAGCCTCGGCCCACTGAGGAAAAAAAAACAAAGAAAAAAAGCCCGGAGAAAGCAAAGATTAGTTCGTACATGATAATATGTTAAGCATATGTTACTTCATACTGGTCCAAAATGCTGAGGGTTGGTCACACTAGAGCTTTAATTGGCTCTGAAATTTTGAACAAAACATGAATACAGCCCAGGAACATTCTCCCAAGTTTGGTCCAACCCACAGGATCAAGCTTTGAATACAAACAACCGAAGCCTGACAAAACACTGTCTAAACCCAGCCATAAATGTGATACACTGTGTGATTTTAGAAATCTTGTTCTTTAGTGTCTGCTCACACTGCACATTTGAGTACACCATTGTGTACGGACAAAGCCTACAACCAATACACTCACATTGTACATAGGCGCTCTGTCCGATTAACATGATACAATGTGAGTGCTCACACTTCACATGAAAGGCAGCCCCAAAAGACATCTCTGTCTACGGACAATTTCAAACAAGCTATTCAAAGCATTCAAAATAACACAATGCGTGCCCGAGTACCAAGTAAAAATAATAGGCTGAATCTCCATTTCCCTGCTCTCTACATAGTGCACTACAAAGGAATTAAAATACTGGCTCCCACACCTGAACAGTGCATAATTTGTCTAATAAACAGTCATTTGGGATTCAGCCATGTGTGCACATTTTGGGTACAGAAGCTATAATTTCATAACTAACACTATATAAAGGAATGAGGAAGTTGTTTGAGATTGAGCCATTGACAAACTGTGGTACAGCAGCTTTGCTAACTTGTGCCACACTGTGCACTGAAACTAAAACCAGGTGCTTCATTTTGGTAGGACAATACAGCCTCTACTAACCGTTTTTCTACAACAATTAAAAAAAATACTGTATTAAGAGGTTTATACCTCAGAAATCTAGTAAGTCAAAAAGTAAAGTTGGCATGTACCTCCATTTTCTTAGCCTGTGTCGGGGCAGTGGTTGGCATGTAGTTAGTATGCGACTTTCAGCAGTCAGTTTACAAGACTACTCAAACTGCGAGACAAGCAACCAAAAAGTTTTGACATCCATCCGATCACCCGATTGCTCAATCAGAGATCATCTGGGCAGTTAATTGGGCATCACTTTCGTTCTCACACTGCACATCAAACAACAGCTAATGAAACTGGAGTTCGGCCCCGTCATGAAATTCAGTCAGCTACAAACAAATCAGGCTTAAAAACAGGCCAAAAATCGCACAGCATATGCCTGGTTAAACTTAGGTTGACTAAGAGCTTAGTCAAACCATAAAAATCAAACCTTGCTCTTATCATGAACATATCTTAGACTAGCAGTCTTAGAGCAATATTTTACCACTGGTGTGCAAGTAAACATAGTAAGTGATTTTCTTATAAAAATGTTACCAAGGGTCCTGATCCCCACTCCTGAAGTTCAAGCTTTGTTGTTAACATCCAGTGTAGGTTATACAGTACATGCATCCAGTTCACTTTCTGTCTTAGAAACATTAATGGTCTAAAGAAATGATTTCTCAATCAAGCCTGTTCACACAGTTGTGAAGTTGTGTTATCTGAAACTCACCAGACGGGCTGCCTTGTTGTAGACCACCTTGAAATCCTCATCCAGTGTGATCTCCTCTATCCGGAACGACACGCCAGAAAAGCTGAGCTGCCGGGCTATGTACATGCCACTGACTTTCATATCCATGGCAACTATCTCCATGGCACCAACACCCCTGTAAGAGGCAAGTAAGCATAGCTGTTGATTGGCACCAAGCTTAGAATGGCAGCTGCTCATTAACCATGGCTTATGCACAATTAAACGTCTAGCTAACAGTGAGACCTTCTATACTTTTTAAACAGGCATTTTCAGAACACAACTTTGCTATTGGGACTAACCTCTTCTCAATGGCATGCAGGAAGTCCTCAAATGTCTTAAAGGGTGTTCCCTCTCCCCAAATCCCTAACCGGCTCATATAGATCATGTTCTTTGGCTCAGAGGCACCTGAAAAACAACAGAGAAAAGATGAACACAGGACAGACAAAATAATAAAAAAAAAAAACAATGTAAACATCTAATTGCAGTATATACACTCAACTATGTGCTCTGCTGTGTGTGCGCACGTGTATTCTGTCTACAAACCTGTGGCACTAGCATAGACCACCCTGGCCAGGGGCAACTTGTTCTGCAGGTCCAGTACAGCTTTGCCCATCTTAGTGGACGTTGCATTTTTGGCTTTATGGCATTCATCAAACACAATCTGAGAGGAGTCAAATGTCAAGGCAAAAGTATTACTTAACAGACCTAGAACTAGAGCTGCTTGGCTAGAGAAGCCAACTCTTACTCTGCATGGACTACAAGAACAAACACCTCTTTTTGGTTGTCAGCATTGTGCAGAGTTGGAAAGTAACTACTTACATTTACTCTCGGTACAAAGCCTTGAGTACATTTTTCCACTGTGATGGTCATGTTTTTAGTATGATTAAAATCATATTACTTCTACTTGAGTTGCTTTATAATACTTTTATTACACTTAATTTCATTGTTCCATACAGAGTAAAAATGTAAATGTGCGTTTCAGCAGACCCAGTTAGAAGGAACACCAGTTAAATTTAAGAAATTCAGTTCTGAAAGCCGATCAAAGCAGAAACTCATACATTAGGAAGCGTTATATTATATTACATAACTCATATCATCTAATCATGATATGCACATAGTCTGAAGCAAACCTTGTGCCTTACACAGTACACAGAAAGATGTGTAAATAATGTGCACTGGTCTCAGGTCTCATAACATTTTTCATGAGTGTCATGTTTGCTTTATTGTTTGCACAGATTATTTCCAATGATATAGCCAAGTCAACTAAGAAATATTTTCAAACTGACTCACTGTAAATGTAGATATACAAAAAACCAACTTGTTTACTGCTACTTGAATAATCTCCTTTACTGATATTTTCACTTGTACTCTTGTAAAGCATCACTACAGCAACAGCATTGTTACTTATGTAGTAATTTTCCGTGCTCTTTCCACCTCTGGAAGTATGTGAACTAGGAGAATATAGCCTACGAACTATCCTGAACTAACATAGATTTAATAAAATAAAGACATGCATTATCTCATGCTGAAACTTGGGCATTACTAGCCAGAGGCACTACACAAAAGGATACAACTCCATCAAAGTCAGGTTTACACCAGTCCAGTATCTGTTTGAGTCTGGTGCGGTGCTGTCCTCCTGCCTGACTCTCCCCAATCAGCGCTGAGTATGTTGCAAACAGGACACCCTCTGAGGTAGCTGTGTCTCCATACTTAATCTGACACACAAACATACACAAAATGACTTCATAGAAGGCACTGGGGCATCTATACAACTGTCAGCAAACCAAGTCTTTTTTAAATAACTTAAAATGTGTAGCACCTTGTTTAAAGCAAAAACAGGAATATTGGGGGCCTCTATGTCCTTGAGGTCTCTCTCTGCATCGTACTTCAGATCATTAGACACGCTGAACCTGAACGAGAACAAAGAAAACAATTAACATTTCTGAGAATATAAAAAGAATACTCTTTTACAAACATGCTAATTCATACAGCCAGAGATATAACTCCCACTCTATTTTACATTATAATGTTTGTCTTTGATTTTACAAACAGGGTACATGCCAATACAAAGGTGGACACCACCCTTAAACCCTTTGTATTTTAAAATAATCAAATGCAAGACAGTAGACAGTAACAGTGTTCATTTTAAACGTAGTAGGGCTTCGTCACAAGTAAGAACTGCTATGGTGCATCCTATAACATGGATTTTCCTAAGTGGAAGTGGCTAGAAGAACATTTCTGCTTTGCAACGAAGCCTTAAATAATACGAAATGCCTGCCTTACCATAGGGCTCTCTTCCTTCCCTTTAAGTAGTTCTCCAGTATGATGCCGGCCACAGTGCGGCCCTTCCCCACACCAGCTCCATCCCCAATCAGAAAACCTGCCCTTTGGTTGTTCTGCAGGATCACCTCATGTTGCTGAGAGGCCATCAAGAAAACCCAAGTTAGCACACAGGCTATGT